AATGATTTTACTTCTATACCCGTTGGTCTTTGGTGGGCAATTGTCACAATGACAACAGTAGGCTATGGAGACATGGTTCCCAAAACTTATGTTGGTATGTTCATTGGCTCAATTTGTGCTCTAACAGGTGTCTTAACGATTGCCTTACCTGTCCCTGTTATTGTCAGTAATTTTGCCATGTTCTACTCACACACACAAGCTAGAGCTAAGTTACCAAAAACAAGACAAAGGGTTTTACCAGTAGAAGCTGTCAGACCCAAATGTGGAGGAAGTGGCCTAAATGCCGGAAATGTGGCAAATTGGAAAAAAGATGGACTAATGCCTCATCATCAACCAGGATTGTTAGTCATGCAAAGAAGGCATGCCATAAGTGCAGAAACATCCAAAACATCGAGTGGAGGTCAGTTGAATCAATAATTGCCTCAATTTTTTTTCCTGAATTTTTTCGAATTAGTTAACAAATTAATATTATTACAATGCAGTGTTAGCAACAAAAATATTTTGAGTTTTACTGATTTATGTAAAGGTTATTAAACTACATTGAGCTTAGAAGTTTAAAATTTTATTAAATTGTTTTTTACTAACAAACATATATATATATATATATATATATATATATATATATATATATGTATATGTATGTATGTATGTATATATATATATATATATATATATATATATATATGTGTGTGTGTTTGTGTGTGTGTGTTGTGTGTGTGTCAGTATGACGTATAAAATGAAGTGAAATTGGGTGCTTTTTCAACATATCAAAACTAATAAAAATTGTTAAGATCTTAAAATAATTTGAAAATAAAGCAATGTATATATTAATCTTAATTTTTATTTTTCTAGATATTTTTGCTTCCCCTCAATAATTTTCAGACAGAAAAACTTACATTTTGTCTTTTCAATAAAATATTTGATTTTCAATCACAACAATTTTCAAATTGTTTTCCCTCATACATAGAATTATAGAAGCGCCGTTTTTAAGCATTGGTGTAGTTTGCTAGTAAATTTTTTCAAATGGGAAACTTTTGTAACATTGTGACAAAAAAAGTTGATATTCTGTTGCACTTTTCTAAAAAAAAGAATGTACAAAAAACATATTTAAGTCAACGCGACTTTTCCTGTGCTTCGATTGCTATTACCAGCTTAATGCTGTGTTTTTGTAATTTTTTACTTTGCATGTAGTAAAACCAATACTCATAAGCAAATTGTAAAAATGTATGTGAACCGAGTTCATCCAAAGTAGCAGTTTCTTCATATAATTTGTAACAGTCATATGTTTAGTTGCTCAAACAACCCTCAGTCTTGTGCGTCCGTATTCACCAGTTATCCACTTTTTCGATAATTTATTCGATCTCTTAATAGTTCAGTTTGGTATAATTTATATATCACAATTTGTTATCACAATTAGCGATGTTTAGCAAACATGCACAAGTACCTCATCAAAAA